TTTCTCTTCTCACTGTCGAGTAGTTGCCTCCAGGGCTTGAGGGTTTGGGGTTTAGGGTTCAGGGTTAGGGTGCTCTATCTTGATGAACCTTAAAAACCTGGACCTGTGGACATCTTACTGTCGGGAGATGGGCCCAACCTCTGAATTTCGGGTTTAGGGCAAGTTCGGGGTTTAGGGTTTAGGGTTTAGGGTTTTCGTTGGTTGGTGTGGGGTTCAGGAGGCTGTAAGGTCTTGAGAGGTTCAGGGGCTTTGTTTAGGGGTTTAGACCTTTAGGGAGTCGGGGGCTCGGGTTTAGGGAGGCTTACGGGGTTGAGGAGCCCTTTGTAGCTCTCACCTCAACCTAAACCAAAACCTTAAACTCTAGGCCCTAAACCCTAAACCCTAAACCCTACACCGGAAACCCTTAATTCTTCCCTCAGAGAATCAGATCATGCCGACGAAGCCTTAAACTCCAGACCCTAAACCCTAACTCCTAAACCCTAAACCGAAACCCCAAACCCTAAACCCTAAACCTAAACCCCAAACCCCAAACCCTAAACCCCAAACCCTAAACCCCAAACCCCAAACCCCAAACCTTGGACAGGAATGGACGTGAGCTCCTCGAGGCGGAAGGCCGCCACCGCTTTGCGGGGCTCTTGCTCGGGGGTTCCGGGGTTTGGGTTTTTTTGGGTTTAGGGTTTGGGGTTTATGGGGTTTATAGGGTTTATAGGGTTTAGGGTTTAGGATTTAGGGTTTAGGGTTTAGGGTTTGGGGTTTATAGGGTTTAGGGTTTGGGGTGTAGGATTTAGGGAATATAGGGTTCAGGATTCTCTGCAAGGTCTGGGGCTTTGATGGTGCGCGTAGGGCTCACGTGCTTGGATTGCTAGGGTTCTGCAACGGACTAAACCCTAAACCCTAAACCCTAAACCCTAAACCCTAAACCCTAAACCCTAAGCCCTAAACCCTAAACCCTGTTTCTTCCTGGGTTACTTTTGGGTCCATGCTACACTTCCTTCGCGACGAATGGGTGTAGTTCGCCAGGTTGCGATGTCCGTCTGGACTCCTTCCGTCATGATCCACCATAAGCTCTCAACCCCAAACCCCAAACCCTAAACCCCAAACCCTGAACCCTAAACGCTAAACCCTAAACTCTAAACCCCAAACTCCAAACCCCAAACCCCTAGCCCTAAACCCTAAACCCAGACCCCAACCGCAAAGGAGCCCGCAATCCAAACCAGACCAGGCCTCGACAAGAGGTTCACGCTGCTGCCCGGCCGGATGCTTGGAGCTTTCGCAGGTAAGGGTTTAGGGTTGTAAAGTTTAGGGTTTTCGGGTTTAGGGTTTTAGGGTTTAGGGTTTAGGGTTCGGGGTTTAGGGTTCAGGGTATAAGGGTTTAGGGGCTTATGTTTAGGGGTTTAGGGGTTTAAGGGTTTAGTGGCTTAGGGGTTTAGGGGTCTAGGGGTTTAGGGGTTTAGGGGTTTAGGGGTTTAGGGGTTCTGGGGTTTAGGGGTTGAAGGGTTTAAGGGTTTAAGTTAAGGGGTTCAGGGGTTCAGGGGTTCAGGGGTTCAGGGGTTCAGGGGTTTAGGGGTTTAGGGGTTTATGGGTTCGGGCTGGATGGGTGCGAACTTCAGGTGGTGTCATCCAGTGGCCAGTGTTTTCGCCGGGGATTTGTCCTGCCTGCAAGGGTTGGCCTGAACAGTCAGCACTTAAGCCCTACACCTGAAGCCCTAAACTCGAAAACCTGATTTACACCCTTAATCCTGAACCCTGAACCCTATACCCCACCGCAGGTAAAGTATCTGGGGAGCATTATCTCGTGGAAAAACGCATTTGAACACGCCTTCCGGCACAGAGCTGCCCTGGCGGAAACAGCATTATTTAAGAAACTCCGCCTGGTATGGAACAGTACACTTCCCCGAAAAGTCAAGCTTAGAATTTTCCAGTCAACATTCGTGCCAATACTTATCTACGGATTGGATACCATTACAATTAGGCACCCGGAACTACACGGCGTAGATGCCTATTTCATCCGATTTCTACGCAGAGTTATAGGTATCAAAGCTTCCTACTACTCACATATCACAAATGACACGGTTTGGCAGCAAGCCGGCAAGCCGACAAAACCGTCAGAAACCCTTCTCTCTCTTCAACAGAACAACTTTGTGGAGATATTCACTACCCCGATAGAAGAACCCTACCACAATGTTGTCTTTGCGACGGCCTTTAAAGATAGGATCCTGGTCAAGGGCAGAAGGCGCGGTATGCAGATACCATATTGGGCAGAGATACTCAGTAAGAGACACTCCCCTAAATTATGGAACTCAGGCCACAACGCCAAAAACCCACATGAAAAGTACCTCTTCATAGCCCGACGAGTCAGGGAATCCTCTTTTGGGAAGGCGCCAAAGCGCGCGCAGAGTTCGCGCGCACGGCATCCCTAAAAAAAACCCTATACCCTAAACCCTAAACCCTAGCCCGAACCCTAAACCCCGACGCCGGGCTTCGGGAATAGGGTTTCGTT